GTCATGCTGCGGCCTAACTCGACGCCCGTTGAAGGCTTGGATTTCTGCTCGTTCTCTGGAGCTGTTCGAACGCCGCAAAGATAACCCCGCGGAATCAGATTGCAACGAGCGGCGCCGTTCTCCCAACCGGCTGCTTAAGCAAAGCCTACGAACGGATCGCGAGAAATGGTGGTCTGAGCGGGCTTTAGAGATGGAGACTGCTGCCCTCTCTGGTAACACTCGCAGGCTTTTCCAACTCACTCGGTCCACTGGCCTCAGGAAGCCTGGTGTCAGTGAGGTCATTTGTGAGGTGGATGAGTCTCCGATCACCAACTAACAGAGGCGTATGTAGCTTCATGAAATGACCGCGAAGACAAAGCAACCTAGCCGGGCTAAATAGCCAGCTCAAGTCCGGTCCGGGGGTACGATTGCCCCCGTAACCCCTCGACCAATTTGGTACCTACTCTCAAAACCCTCTCAAGCTCCATTTTTTTCCCGAACAAGGCAGGGCGGGCAAGCCTGGATGCAGTATTTCAGATGGGGCCGGACGAACTCTGAGAACAGCTTCACAAATATGTCGGCAGTTAGGACCCCGAAAGAACGGCGTATTCACCACAACATTCTGAAACACCTACTAGCGGCCTTCTTCCAGTTGTCAACAGAAGGCAAAGCCCAGGAATGAAGGCAACCTAGGTCTACGTGGTTGGAGACAAGTGGGAGTTCGACCCCACGGAGTACGTGGGTCGAAGGCGGGAAAGCTGCTCCTATACGAAGGACAGAACACTTAGCCTGATTTATGGGCAGTAGCCACAAAGTAGACCAGTCCCAGAGTCTGTCCAGTGCATGCTATATGGCCTCAGAACCCTCAGGAACTTTGACAACATTCCACAGATTAAGGTCATCAGCAAACAATAGGGAAGATACCCCCAGGCTCTCCAGGGAGATCGTTTACGTAGATGGAGAACAGCATCGGTCCAAGGACCGAGCCCTGTGGGACACCGCGAAGGACCGTTTGCTTAAAGGATAAGCTGCGACCCACACGTAGACACTGCTCTCTTCCCTGCAAGAACGCAGATACCCCGTGAAGATAGCGACCAGATACGGCGTAGGACCTCAGCATTTGTGATAGCCTCAAGCAGGGTACCTTATCAAATGCTTTCGAGAAGTCAACCAAAAGCACATCCACCAGGTGGCCATTGTCTGCTGCCTCAGCCCAAGCTTCACGAGCAACCAACAAAATCGTCAAACACGAAAACCCTTTCCGGAATCCATGTTGTGCACTACTGAGTAGATTAAATCTATTCAGGTGACATTCCAACGAATCTCTCACCAGCTTTCCAAGCAGTTTGACCACGACGCTGGTCAGACTAACTGGCCTATAATTGGCTGACAGACTCATGTCGCCATTTTTGAAGATAGGACAGATGACAGCCTCCTTCCATTCAGAAGGTAATGTACAGCTGTCAAGTGGCTTCTGAAACACCATCGTCAGCGGTCCACTCAGTTCCACCGCCAACTCATGCAGAAGCTTCGGGTGAATTGAATCAGGTCCAGCTGCTTTGGAAGGGTTCAGTTCTTGCAGCAGTTTAAGGACTTGCGTTTCCACCACAGTAAACTCAGCTAAATAAGAACCCATCCGTGTCTTCCAATCACAGCGCGCAGCGTTGTAATTGGAAGACACAAGCTACCATGATTAACACCCATGTCCCCCGTTGCACTGGTCACAAAATAGTCAAGGACATATGCAGTTCGGGAAGAAAGGCAATGCCGTGGGAACTTACCGATTGGAAGGGTTTCCCATTTCCAGAGGTTCTTTATGCAGCATTCACATCTTGCTCCTGTGTATCCCTAAAGAAAAGCACCCTTACATACGTGAAACGGAACTTACCCGCAACAACGCGCACATGTGTATGCCGCCTCCCCATGGTATGCAGCGCAGGTTTGATGAAACCATCTGCAGCAAACATCGCAACTTATCCAATCGACAATCTCCGAGCTCCCGCACGCGTCCTCTTCCTCCTCACACAAAGCGCAAACGGCGCTGTCCGCTTCTTTGGCAGCAGTGCCGCTCTTTGTACGCCATGTGTATGTGCGGTGGCGCGCCAATGTCCTTCTTTTAAGGGTCAGAAATGTCAACTCCCGTGAAGTCATGTTGCCTTCCACCACCTCCACCGCACGCGGTAACAAAGGTGACTTTCGTCTGCGACGCCTGCAATCGTTGCAAGGAGACTGGGAAACACCAGCCACCGGGGACACCAATGTGATCCCTTCGCTGACGTCCCTCTCCGGTGAATTCCTGCTGGTACGCGTACCATTGCCTGCGGTCACGTGGGTAGCTGCACCGGAGGATGACGGCTGCATTCCTTGGAAGGTAGGCAGGTTTTCCGAGGATAACCGTTGCAGTTGTTCCAACTGCGATGATCGCGCGTAAAGCTGCACATCACTGTGACTTGCAAGCAGCTCCCGCACGCATGCAAACACGCCCATGGTGCGCTGAAACTCCTCGGTGCCCATGCTCAGGATCTGCGTTTCCAGAGCAGCAAACATATCCCGAGTGATGCAAATTTTCGCCGCCCAGTCAAGAACTACATCACTCGGGCATCTCACCGGCACCACCGTCAACGTTCCTTCCCTGTCCTCCGAAAGCACCGGCGCAGATGTACTTATCGCTGGCAATACCCAACGGCAACCACCAAGCACATCCTCCTCCTGGTACGCGTGTAGGCTTGCCACGTGAATAATGTGCGCACATGGAATGCGCCACTGCCGATTAAATCTGCATCCGCAAGCGCTGCCATTTCCGAGAACGACACGTTGCATTCCAATGCGCTCGTCGTCCACCAGCCAACAACCACCGCCTTGGTTTACGCTGCGAATACGAACGCGAACACTGTGCCGCGCGTACTGCCGCCGGGCGTAGGACGAGAGCCTGCGCAAAATCACGTCCCCAATGCTGACACCGTGCTGAACCTCGCATACACCAAGTTGATCTCTGGCAAGCAGTGTTTCCCTCTCCTCAATGATGCTACTGGCACGCTGCACTATCACCTGAAACAGGTGAAATAGCGTTGACCGCTCGCTCAAAGTTTCTTTCAGATGCTTATTCTCATTTTCAAGGCGATTCGTGCTGTCTCATCCAAAGAAAACTACATGGCCCATCAAATGCGCTTCCCAGCTAAGCCGCCATGGGATCCATGTACGACGGAGGTACTGGAAGCATTCCGCGCTCCGCAGGGATATGCCTTCCATAATCCGATGGTAATGCGCGCAGTCGTACGTGTACAACAACGACCGCAGCATGTTGAAGAGAGCCCTCTTATCTTCCGCGTTACACAACGGAAGGTGTGAGCAACGCCGCCGCATGTCACGCATAATGTGTACCCGGCAGAAAACAATGTTCGCATTGGGGTACGCATTACGAAACGCATTCACTTGCGCGGTGCACTTGTCCATCACCAAAGTCCGAGCACCGGCAACCGCGGGGGCCAAATTCAACATACCTCTCACTGCCTCCTCGTAAACAACCGCCGTCTCATTAGGCAACAGGGCATAAAAGAAACTCATACCCAGGCCGCTAACGTCCACAAACATGCAATGCCACAGGATGTAGCCGCCATAATTGATCTGATACGTGGAGTCCGCCAAAATTACCTCCCCGTATTGGCCCACCAAATCGAGCATGCGCAAAGGTACGAAAAACAGGTAACGAATCTGATTCCCCTCCTGCATAATTTTCACCTGACCATTTCTTTGCAACAGCTGCGTCACCTCCTCCACCTCAGTGACACAGGCATTACGATGACGCCGCCGTATGACATACAAATCCCTCCTTGTTAAACGAATGTCATATTGCTGCCGCACAAAGGCACGCATCTCCTGGGTCCGACGAAACGTTCTCATTAAGTTAAGCACCAGCCGCTCCTGATCTTCTGTTAGCCTCCGATTTCTCACATACAGCCAAGGCTTCCCAACGTGAAAGCTGTGCGAATGCCACAGATACGCATTAACAATTTCCTAACATTCGCCTTTATCCGTCACAGAAAAACGCGCAGGAGTGGTTTATCGCCTTCCCTCAGCTGCGCCAGAATGTCTGCGGTGCTGGAACGCCACCCTCCGAGCAGCTACTTCAGATTTGGGTGCCCCCCTACTCGTCGCAGGTGACTTTAATTTCCCGGGGATAGACTTTACCTCTGGCCAAGCTCGCAGTCAGCACAGCCTTGAGTTTCTTGCTAGTGTTCTAGAACATGGCCTAACCGAACACGTATAGCAGTACACTCGGTGGCGAGACGGTCAAAACCCGTCGAAACTCGACTTGCTGATCACCAACGAGCCACATCTAATTGACAACGTTAATTTGAGCGCCCCAGTTGGTGCAAGTGATCATGTAGTTATCAGTTTTCGTGTGGTGGCGAACGTCACGCTTAACGCTAAAGCACTGCCCATCAGGCTTAACTTACGTCGAGCGGACTATGACGCGATCAAAGATTTCCTCTCACGAGTCGACTGGTCCCTGGCAGCACAAACCCTCACAGTCGACGACCATTGGAACTACATCGCTGCTCACATCCACGACGCAATTAGGGCACACGTCCCCACAGTGCGCGCTTATGCGCCGAAACGCCACAGGCAACTTCAGCCTGCTACGCTTAGGCTGATCAGGGAGAAGAAAGCCCTCTGGGACAGATTCTTACTTTTTGGCGACTCTGATTCGCGAGCACAATACTGTCGAGTGCGAAATTCCTGTATAGCAGCTGTTCGCCAGGACAGAAAAGCGTACCAGCTCTCTCTCGCTAAAAGCTTCGCCGATAACCCCAAGGTCTTCTTTAAGCATATAGCGTCTCTCACTAAATCGCGCGCTGCCGTTGGCAGCCTGTTCGGACCCGTAGGCAACACCACAACGTCGGACAAAGAAGCTGCGGAATTGCTGAAGACTCAGTACGAGTCCGTTTTCGGCACCTTCGCACGCAGTACAATGGAAGGCGCTAACTTTACCCCCATCACTGCCAGACATCCCGTGCAGTTTACATCAGAGAAAGTCCTGGAGAAATTAAAAAAATTAAGGACAGACAAATCGCCGGGTTTGGATAAATAAATAAATAAATAAATAGTATATTCTCTGTAAAACGAGACACACCTCTAAAAGGCGAACGTGTGTGTTTGGAGCTGCGTGTAGTCGTAGGGCACGGAGGACTCAATGTACTGGCGTCAGTGTGTCGTTGGGTAGGGGGTAATGAGTCAGGGGTGGGGGTATGCTGAGAAGAGGAAACGGGGTCTTTACTATCGACTGTAGTTTCGACGTAAGCTGGTTTGAGTCGGTCGATGCTCACGGATTCCTTTGATCCATTCTTATTCAACACGAAATACTTCGGTTTTCGTGACAAAACCTGGTACGGGCTGTCATAGGGCGGAGTTAAAGGTCTTCGGACGGCGTAGACGCGGATGAAAACCAACGGACACTTGTGCAAATCGGGGTGGACTTGCTGTTTACATAGGTTAGGCCGCGTAGACGTTGGTCGGATGGATCGAAAATGCTGCTTGAGGCGTTCAGCATACGAGAAGGGGTCTAGTTCGCCGGTGGTGCGAGAGTCCAGTACCATCTCCCCAGGTAGTCTGAGGGTCGTCCCGAACACGAGTTCTGCAAGGCAGCACCCAATGTCCTCTTTGATTGTATTGCGTATACCAAGGAGGATCGCAGGTAGACGCTCAGACCAGCGTGAGTCGGACGAAGTAGCCATGATGGCAGCTTTTAATTGTCGATGAAAGCGCTCGACGAGGCCATTGGCAGCGGGGTGGTACGCGGTTGTTCTCATGTGAGTACAGCCTAATAAACGACTCAGATCGCGGAACAGTGTGGAACTGAACTGAGCCCCTCTGTCGGTAGTGATGGTGGATGGAACACCAAACAGCGAAATCCAAGATTCGACAAAAGCACGGGATACAGATTCGGTAGAGGTATCACGTAAGGGAACAGCTTGTGGCCAACGGGTAAAACGGTCAACACATGTTAGAAGATGAGTGAAACCGTTGGAAGGAGGTAAAGGGCCAACAATATCTATGTGCACGTGTCTAAAACGAGCGTCAGGGAGTGAAAATGTACCTGGGGTGGTGACTGTGTGACGATGCACTTTACTAGTTTGGCAACTAAGGCAATGTTTAGCCTACTGTCTAATGTCTGAACGCATATTGGGCCAGAGGAAGCGGTCGGTAATGAGTTTTACGGTGGAGCAGATACTTGGGTGTGAAAAACCGTGAAAGTGATCAAAAATGGTTCGGCGAAATGATTGTGGGACAAAGGGTCTAGGCTTACCGGTTGAAAGATCACAGTAAACTCTTATGTCAGAGTTAAGTACGGGCAGTTGGGTGACTTTCAATGAGGACTTTGAATGAAGTTGAACGAGCTCAGGATCATCGTTTTGAGCAGCCGCTATTCTCTCCAAGTCGATGGGCGTCGATGACAGTTGATTCACATGAGCGCGGGACAATGCATCGGCAACAACGTTGTTAGGACCGTCGATATAACGAACATCAACACAAAACTGTGAAAGATAGTCCAGATGACGCGTTTCTCGGGGTGAGTAACGGTCTGAGGAAGAACGGAAGGCATACACCAGTGGCTTGTGATCTGTCAAGAGAATGAAACGACGTCCTTCTAAAAGGTGACGGAAATGTTTCACAGCCAAGTACATGGCGAGCAGTTCACGACCAAAGGTGCTGTATCTGACCTGAGCAGGTTGAAGCTTCCGTGAGAAAAAAGACAGTGGTTGAAATTCGTTATCAACTAACTGTTGCAAAACTGCACCGACAGCAGAACTTGAAGCATCCGTCTTAAGGACAAGTGTAGCGTCCTCAGTGGTGTTCAAGTGATGGAGAGAGGTGACCTCACTGAACTTCTGCTTGACGGCCGTGAAAGCGGCTTCAACTTCTGGGGTTATCGTAAACGTCTTTGAGTTTCCTTTCAATAAGTCGGTAAGCGGGTGAAGTAAATCAGCACAGTTGGGAATGAATCTGCCGTAGTAGTTGATCATACCGAGGAATCGGCGAAGGCTTCGGACAGAGTGTGGCATCAGGTAGTCGAGGATTGCTTGAGATTTACCCGGGAGGGGTTTAATACCTTCACCATCGATCTTGTGACCGAGAAATTCGACGGTTGGCTGACCAAATTTGCATTTGTCCGGGTTGATGTTTATCCCGTGGTTTTCAAAGCGTTCGAAAACCATTCTCAGGTGTGATAAATGCTCGTCGGGTGTGGCGCTTGCGATCAAGACATCGTCAATGTAAACGTAGACGAAATCAAGGCCACGGAGGACCTGATCCATAAAGCGTTGGAAAGACTGTGCTGCGTTCCGGAGGCCGAAAGGCATACGAAGAAATTCGTAAAGGCCGAATGGAGTGATCACGGCAGTTTTTGCGATGTCTTCCTCCGCCATTGGAATTTGATGGTAAGCTCTGACAAGATCGAGTTTGGTAAAGATTGACTTTCCAGCTAGTCCAAGGGAGAAATCGTGGATATGTGGGATAGGATACCTATCCGGAACAGTGACGTTGTTAAGAGCACGGTAGTCACCGCATGGTCGCCAATCGCCTGACTTTTTAGACACCAGATGGAGAGGTGATGCCCAGCAGCTGTTTGAAGGACGAATAATGCCGAGATCAAGCATGTGTTGGAATTCCTTTTTAGCTGCCTGGAGTTTGTCAGGACGCAAGCGTCGAGCTTTAGCAGTTACAGGCGGACCGGTTGTAACGATGTGATGGCGTACATCGTGTTTAGGATCGGAAGTGTCGTTACTTGCTCGAATTAGGGACGGAAATTGTCGGAGCAATGAAGAATACTGTGAGTCGTCAGGGATGAGGATGCGAAGCCCGAGAGAATTGACTGAGGCAAGTTTGCAGGGTATGCTTAAAGACGTAGTATCGTCTCGCAATTTCCCACAACGTAGGTCGACCACAAGACCGAACTTGCTGAGGAAGTCGATTCCGATAATGGGCTTTTGCACATCGGCGATGGTAAAAAGGAAAGGGAAGTTACGCCGTAATCCGAGACTCAAAGTAAGTAATTTCTGGCCGTAGGTCGCGATTTTAGTCTGATTAGCTGCCGTAAGCATTGGACCCGCTGGTTGCAGGGGGCGTTTTTCCAGAGAACGGGGGAGAACGCTGACTTCTGCACCAGTATCAACCAAGAAGTGAAGTTTGGTTGTGGAGTCAAATACATACAACAGGCGACTAATAACCTGGCCAGCGACAGCCGCCGCCATTACTGGCTGGCCATGTGGTTTCCCGACGTAGGAGTTGAAAAGGCTTTGGGGTGTTTACACCCTGGACGGCACTTACGCGCTGCGTCTCCGAAGCGGTGGTGATAATAACAATAACGGTGAGACTTCCGTGTACGAGAGCTGCTAGACCGTCTGGATCGAGAAACGGATCGTCGCGAAGGAACGCGGTCGCGTCTGAGATGGGACAAGGTGAGCTCTAAGTTAGAAAGCCTCTCGCTGATTGTATCAAGTAGCGTGGTTCTGGAGGGGCTGCCTGAGCTAGTCTCTGTGACGTGTGATACCGACGTTCTAATGAAGCGTTCGTGAACCTTATCGGCAGCTTCTGCCAGTTTGTCTAGCGGAAGATCGTCGGCAAGCACAGCTAAAATAGCCGTGGTATTCGCAGGAAGACAATTACTCCACAATTGGCGGAGAACGGAATCATCCAGTGCGGAAGAACCGACGAGGGAACGCATGTGTCGGAGTAACTGAGATGGCGTTCTATCTCCAAGTTCTACACCAGAGAGTAACTGCTGAAGGCGTGATTCGTCTGAGGCTGTAGTGCGCTTTAATATGGCTGCCTTAAGTTTATCATAGGGGGACTCTAGGGGCATAGGGTCAAGAATGTCGATGACCTCAGAGGCGATGTTGGACGGTAAGTGAGCAGTCACATATGAAAACATTGTGGACTGGGATGTAATCCTACGAAAACGGAAAACAGCTTCCACTTGAACAAACCAAACACGTGGGTTAGAAACGTCAAATGAAGGCAAAACGAGTCCAAGAGAATGTTCCGACGCATTAATGGCAGGCGCGTGCTCAGACATTGTAAGTTAAAAAAGAAAAATATACACAAAATGTTGAATAAAAAATGCGGGGTCACCAATTATATGGAGGAACTGATAAAGGAGAATACCCAGTCAGTCAGGTTTACCTCACATATAAAGTATCCTGATGCACCTTAGCGTCGGACGGCCGTAAATCCCGAGGTATGCCGAAATGTACGTGTACGTAGAGTCCGATCGTGAACCAAGCAGGCAGCGATGCGCACAATCACATCAATCCAGCGGCAACCAAGGAAGAACCACGGAAGGCGAGCGCGTAACCAAGTGTGTATATATACAGTTAATTAAAACAAAGCTGTACAACAACTGCAGCGAAATAGGTAAACGTAAAAATGCAAAATAAGCAAATTATTTACAATCGCTACAAGTACTATAGTTTACCGTAACCGTGGTAGCAGGTGCCCGAGGTTTCAAATTTCATAAATGGGTCTAAATTGGACCTAGGTTTTTGGAAAGTAAATAGTGCACTCAGCTGGTCAGAAAATGCAGAATAGCCACTTTAAGGTAGTATCTAAAGAGTGATACAAATAAATTGAAGTGGAAATGAATATTTTGCTTACCTCACATGCTCCTATGTGATTTCTTTTTTGAGAAACGACTGGGCACAATGGTTGGCGTACTTCGAGAAATAGGTGGAAAAGAACGGAAATGACTGTGAGAATAATATGTAAATAACGGGATACACGGATGTGGCGGTAATAGGCAAATAATCATGCCATATGCGCATACCTGTTTACATATGGGACTTGCTACGGAATGCGTATTTATAATGGAAAAGTAACGCAAAAGCGTCAGTTGCATATAGGAATGCCTGAGGAACAGTTAGTTAAGTGAACTAAAGTGAAGGAGAAGTGAAGATGCATGTCGGTCCCTAGTCAATATGTGGTGGATAAATGCTCCTAACGGCGGAATGAGCTTCCATAGGGTATATAAATGGTTGATGAAACCTTTATATATATATATATATATATATATATATATATATATATATATATATATATATATATATATATATATATATATATATATATATATATATATATATATATATATATAAAGTTGCACAATTAGAATGCATATATTTCGCCTGATTTATGGGCATCATCCATAAGGTTGACCAATCCCAGATCCTTTCCAAGGCACTCTGAAGTGCCTCAGAGCCACCAGGGATATCCACAATATTCTAGAGCTTGAGATCATCAGCAAACAATAGCGACGGTACTTCAAGCTCCTGGGGTAGGTCATTGACATAATTTGTGAAAAGCAACGGCCCTAGAACCGAGCCCTGCGGAACGCCACTAAGAACAGGTTGTCTAAGCGAAAGGCTACGCCCCACGCGTACACACTGTTCTCTGCCCTCTAGGAAAGCAGAAACCCATTTAAGCGCGGCTCCAGATATCACATACGATCTCAAGTTCAATGAGGGTCGTTGATGTGGGACAGTGTCAAAGGCTTTTGAGAAGTAAACGAAAAGCCCGTCGATGGCGTGACCTTTGTCTACTGCCTCAGCCCAGCTTTCACGAGCTACAAGTAAATTTGTCAGACATGAAAATCCCTTACGGAATCCGTGCTGGGCCGCACTGAGAAGGTTAAACTTAATCAAGTGATTCTCCACCGAATCCCTGACCAATTTTTCAAACGACTTAACTACTACACTTGGTAAGCTGACAGCCCGGTAGTTCGCGGGCAGAACTATGTCCCCGCCCTTAAAAATCGGACAGATGATTGCCTTCTTCCATTCAGAAGGTAGGGCACAGCTGTCGATTGACATTGTAAACATGCATGTCAGAGGGCCACTTAGCTCAGCGGACAATTCATGCATAAGCTTCGGATGAATTGAATCAGGAGCAGAGGCTTTGGAAGGATTTAGCCGTTGCAATAGCCCGAAGACTTGTCTCCGTTATGCTGATTTCAGTTAGGCAAGAATCCTCTGGAACTTTGTGACCAGCTAAACCTAAGGTAGAGAAGCCTCATGAGAAAAGACACCAGTATACTGTTCGCTAAGTATACAGGCATTATCATAGTCGGTATGCCAATGGGTCCCGTCCGCTCGTAGTAAAGCCGGTATAGTCGAGTTTGTACCGCTACGTCTCTTTACGTAAGCAAAGAACTTCTTTGGATTTGTTACCGCTGCGTTAGCCGTATCCTCCTCGTACTGAAGGCGAAGAGTTCTAAGATGATGCCTACATTTATTACTAACCGCTCCATAGCTTTCGTAGGTGCTGGTTGATGAAGCCGCTTGGTAAGTTCGCCAGCACTTAGAGCGCTTCCTGAGCAAGTATTTACCTGTAGGATCTGTCCATGGAGGCTGCGCCAGTGTCACCCTTCTCTTAGTGAGTGGGATGTGGGGGGCAGATCTCGGTGAGGTATGCCTTAAATCTCTCCCAGGCTGTCTCGACGGTGACAGCCACGGTAATCGCACAACGCAAAACTGAAGCTTTGGCTCGCATTCCGTTAAAGTCTGCCCGCCAAATATTTGGACATGCCTCAGCGGTAGCTTGATGACACTTAGTTAGAGCACATCGAAAGGATATGCAGACACGGTCACTGGCTCCTAGAGGACAGTCGTAGGTAATATCACTTACGAAATCGTGTGACTTCGCAAAATGAAATCCAAGGTAGACGGAAGTTGCTTGCGCATACATCTTGTCGGGAGAACCACGAACTGATGCAAAGGCAGTTGCAACACGGACATCAGGGAAACCCCTCTTTCTCCCGTGTCTCCGTCAACCACCTGTGCTGTGGATAAAGCCATGGCTCCCCAAAATTGAAACCATGACAATGACAGAAATGCAATTCCCCTCGTTCGTAAAATTCAACATGAAAGAGAAATGGGCTCAGCAATCAGCATCCTGTAACGGTGTAGCACTTTGTATACCGTAAAATAGCAACTTACAGTTTCCCAGGAAAGTTGCTACGCCTGCAATGAACACAGGGATACTGCTCGTACCGGTACGGGTACTCATTAGGCTTGCAAAAAGCTGCGGCAGTTGCAAATTTCTTTACATCGGACAACCTCATCAAGTTTCCGATAATATTACGCACCAAAAGGCAGAATCTTTCAGATTCATCCACCATGATGACAGTTACAAATGTGGCGCCAAGTGATTTCCAATACTCCTGTAGTCTGTCACAACAACTAACTATGAGAACCTCATTAACCGTCTTCAATACAAAACATACACCAGGTTAACATGTATATACTATATATATATGCAAACCGCCATTTAATGGCAACCTCTCCAGTTGGCCTAGCATAAAACATGCATCGTACTAGCTTAGCCTACTCAAAGGTGCACCTGCCATAACTCTCCTTTCATAACTGGAGAAGCTAGTGACGCTTCGTCCGAAAAGCTTTTCAGTCACAATCATATGTAACTGCCCTTGTATTAACCATTATAACCCTCTTATCTGGTCCAAAGAAGTGATGCCGGAGCAAGTGCAATGCGATATATTTGAAACAGTTAGTTCCTTTTAGTAATTTGAAAAGCGCAGTAAGAAGACGAAGACTGGCAAATGCACGCATTTCGCATTGTCCCACCAGTGTCTTTAACAATAGCGCAATAATACTTATTCAGTGAAGGGTGCGACGAAACATGGTTGGCGACATCCGGTTTCGGATGAGACTGTCACTGTGGCCAGCCACAGGACGTCTGCGCTTACAGAGGGACCATGGATGGCTTGCGCTGCACCATCCACAGCTCCAACCATACACATATATCCAGTGTAAACCCGAAAGAATAAGACCGGGAGGCATGTGGATGGGAGCCATGTTTCATCAACGGAGCCGGCACACTCCTTCACAGACCAACACAAGCACGCTGTACTTGGAGATTCAAGCGCACACAAGGCGGTGGCCGGACCGTAGTCCGCTCCACACTGAGTGCATGGAACCGCTCTTAGAGCCTAGCACGACCACAAGGACTGTGCACCCCTTCCCCTCCAGCATGGACTCACTGTCTCCTGGAGCCCGTATGGACGAGGTAGTGGGTAATAGACAGGTAGGCACGTTGTCAACATGCACATCGAGTGTAGCCACACCGTGGATGTCAAACAACAGCCAATCATTCGAAATGACGGTACCAAATAAAAGATATCGAATGAAGTCAACGTATTTGTTTGGAGTATCATTGGAGTATCATTGGAGTGGTAGAGAGCAGATAGGGCATCCTGTGTCAGCTCCATCACATCCCGTTCAGAGCAAGGATTGTGCGACATGTTGCGAGGCGGTATTCCGCAAGGGACCATTACGGTCGCATCGAAAACAGCAGGATCCTTGCATACTCAGCAGATAGGAGTCTAACAGTTTCTTAAAACTTTCCTCACATTGTGCATTAACGACCAGTTCAGGCAAGCTGTTCCAGTAGTTTACCACTCGAGTTGATAGGGTGAGATCAGAATGAATCCGGACCCTCCTCGGCTTAAACAGTTTCCAAGAGTGACCCCGTGTCGAGCTATCAGCGCAGAGCTGGAAGAACTCTTGCAGTTCACTCCCCATCTGTCCTCGCAATATCCGTCTGGTGTAAATCAGATCACCCCGACGTCGACGGTAGTCCAAGGAAAACATGTTCATCTGTCGAAGACGCTGAGTGTAAGGCAGGTCACGGAGCGCTGCGATGGATTTCGAGCCTCGTCGCTGAACTCTTTCAATCATAACACGTTCAGTCTTTGTAAAAGGGTAGGCCGCAGGCAAACCGTACTCGAGGATAGGGCGCACATGGGAAGAAAAAAGAAGTCTGAAGACCTCTGGAGTCATTCGGGAGAACGATCTCCTAATGGCACAGAACATCCTATTCGCAGCCGCTATCTTCCTCAGGGTGTCCTCGGAGATACGCAGATCGGGAGATACGAGTATACCAAGGTCTTTCTCACAGGCAGCATTCCTGCTCAAGAAACCACCAATGTGATAGGCGCCAAATGGGTCAGAAGAGCCGATCGGCAGGACAGAGCACTTCTCATGATTGATGGGTAAACGCCATTCC